AGGAAGAGAGATCGAGTGGAAATGGAGCTTGGAGCAACAATGGAGCTTAGAGATGGAAGAGGTAATCAACTAGAGGTAGAAGACACCCCTTATATAGTCGTGGACAAAATCCAACCGTTATCCACATGTTCAGCCCGCGACACACGATACTACCGCTCCAGGGGCGCGGTACTACCGCGAGGTTGTGCGGTACTACCGTGGCTAACCACAGTACTACCGCGACAGTAACACAGGCCGGAACTAGCCTGAAAAGGGGGCAGTACTACCGCTTGCGCGGTACTACCGCACCCACCTGCGGTACTACCGCAAGGCAGGAAGGTCACGGCCTGGGAAGGGCGCGGATGAAATAAATTACATCCATGCCTACTTCCGCTGAACCGGAGGAGGTACAAAAATCCGACGCGGTACTACCGCCCGCGAGGCGCGGTACTACCGTGCGGGCGCGGATGTAAAAAATTACATCCGCGCCTACTACCGCGACACTGCGGTACTAGGTAGGAGGGCCACGGTACTACGACTCCTAGGGAGCGGTACTACCGTGGGCCTCCACGGTACTACCGCGTTGGACGAGCGGTACTACCGTGGAGGGCGCGGATGTAAAAAATTACATCCGCCCCTACTACCGCACCGGAGCGACACAAGGCCAGGGAGCCGCGGTACTACCGCTCCAGATGAGCGGTACTACCGTGACACACAGCGGTACTACCGCGTGTACTTGCGGTACTACCGCAAGCACAGCAGTAGTCGTCAGATTTCCGCACAACCACGATACCAAAGGGAAGCTCCAAAATGCAGGGAAAGGAGGAACAAGTGTACGTGTTGATTCCACCCAAACCTTTCCGACGCGGACCCCCTCTTAATAGTACGGCTCTCCTACGACTCAAATCCACCAAAGAGAAACGTAGAGCAACACCGACTTCAATAGTCTCCGAGGGGCACCGAATCGTCTCGTGCCTAGATACGAATAACGTGAGAAACTCAAGGCACACGATTAGTCCGCAAATGCATTGTCATCAATCACCAAAACACCTGAGGGAAAAATATGCCCTTATAGGTGTCAAAGGAGCTGCCAAGTGATCTCAGTAGTGTCTTGGCGACTTCATGCTTGGTGATCTCAGTGGCGCCAAGAGCCCGAAGCTCATTTGTGATGTCAGTGAGGCGATCAAACCTGAGCTGAACATTTTCATTGTCGTTTCTCTTGAAGCGGTTGAAGAGATTGCGAAGAACACTGATTCTCTGGTCTTTTTGGGTTGAGACGCCTTCGTTGACCTTGGATAGCCAGTCCCAGACCAGCTTTGACGTTTTCAGAGCACTCACACGACCATACTGTCCTTTGGTCAGATGACCACAGATGATGTTCTTTGCAGTGGAGTCCAGTTGAATGAACTTTTTGACATCAGTAGGGGTGACACCTTCACCAGTTTTGGGAACGCCGTTCTTGACGACATACCAGAGGTCGACATCAATGGCTTCAAGATGCATGCATATCTTATTCTTCCGGTAGGGATATTCAGTTCCATCGAACACGGGGCAAGCAGCGGAGACTTTGATTATCCCTACAGTCGACATAGCTAAACTCCAGGTGGTTAAACCGAATCACACAGAACAAGGGAGTACCTTGCTCTGATACCAATTAAAAGTGCTAGTTATCGACTAGAGGGGGGTGAATAGGCGATTTTTATCAAAGTCTTCAAAACGTGGAAGTTTCGAAGACAAATAATAGAAATGACCTAATTGATATGCAGCGGAAGATAAACTACAACGAGCAAGCCATAGTCAAGTATGCAATAGTGTTAACGTACGAAGACTAATAGCAGCTAGGTAGTAAGAATCAAGATGGAAGATAGTATGAAGCCAATCAACAATAGTAGTCAAACATTAAAGTCAAACAGATAAGACAGATAAGCAATGACTTCACGAAGACAAACTCAAAGTAAAGGAGGGAAGGGATAGAACCAGTCACTTGTTGAAGACACATGATTTGTTCGACCAGTTCCAGTTGTTGTGACAACTGTACATCTGGTTAGGGAGGCTGAGATTCAACTCAGAAGACCGTGTCTTCACCTTATTCCCCTTGAGCTAAGGACACCTAGTCCTCGCCCAATCACTCTAGTAAGTCTTCAAGGTAGACTTCTGAACCTTCACAGACTTCGTTCACCCGGCAATCCACAATGACTCTTGGATGCTCAGAACGCGACGCCTAACCGGCTGGAGGATACACAGTCCTCAAGTGTAATAAGTCTTCAGGTCACACAGACAGAAATACTTCAGTGATGCCTAACACTCTTTGGCTCTGGGTGTTTCGGTTTTGTCCTCGCAAGGATTTCTCTCTCAAAGGCTTCGAGGTGGGTTGCTCTCAAAACGACAAAAGCCGTAAACTAACTTTGAGCAACCACCAATTTATGGTGTAGGGGGTGAGCTATTTATAGCCACAAGGCAACCCGATAACATATAGTTTTTTATTAAAAAACTATATGTTGTTCGTCACTTTTGTATAACTATAGTTTTTTATTAAATGCTATTATATTGTCACTTTTGTATAATTTATATGCCATTTTACATATGTTGTTCGTCAAACACTTATCCTTGCTGAAAACACAGGGGTCCAAATGTTTTGGCCTCAGACTATTTCTCGGTGATTAAGAAAGTCCAACAATAAAGCTTGGACAAATACCTGGTGTTATTGTCTACGATAGTAAGAGTAGAGCTACAAAGTTTACATCGTGTATTTTTAGACATGTTGTTCGTACGTGTAATGAGGCTGCTCATGTTCTGGCCAAATCGGCAGAAAAAGTTCTGGTTCTAGTTGGTTTAATGAGTGTCCTAATATGATCAAGGCCATTATTTGCAGTGAACAACCTTGAATGAATGTATAGGAGCTGCCCATTTTTTTATTTAAAAAGGAATAGATCCAAGCAAATCTATTGAAGACCAGCACAGACCGATCGGTTTGATTTATATATAATAGCAATAACCGTGTTTTGATATGATGATCATCGGGAAAATTAGATGCGTTGGTATTGGTGTATGGATGGGCAAGATTTGGACTTTGAAGTGCCAAAACTGAGTTTATAATCAGAAAAAGGTGAAAATCTAAAACGCTGCTGTACCATTTTCGGTGTTCCGAAATTCGGACTGGTGTTCCCCTGCATCGACGAGCAATTAAAAAAAACAACCTAAAATCTAAAAAGCGGCCGGCCACCAACTAACAGAAACGGGCGGCCGGGCTCACATGTGTGATTTTTTTGTCAGCTAGTGGATATTATTGTTAGCATTAGATGCGTACAGACTAGTCTGGCAACAGATTCACGCACATTTATTTTAGCGTTTTAAATTTTTAAAAAGTCATATCTTTTAAACCACATGTCGGAATTCAGATCCGTTTTCATCGTTGGATTCATCGCGGCGAGACCTTCGAAACTAGATCCCGCATGGATATGTTTCGATAAATTTTTTTTGATGCCACTTTTGGTGCTATATGGTGCAATTAAAATACTGCATTGTGCAACTTTAGTACTACATCGTGCAATTTTTTTCCAAAACTAATGTTTGGAGCTGCGCCTTCGTATGAGGTTACAACCTAGCAACCACGACAACTTTTGATGTGCGACTAGTCTATTGCCTCGACGAAAGTCGATGTGCAACCTCCTTTTGTAATGTAGTCTAGTCGCACACACATTGATATTTAGTTGGCTTGTAATGTAGTCTAGTTGCACATACATTGATATTTAGTTGGCTTGTAATATAGTCTAGTTGCACACACATTGATGTTTAGTTGGCAGGAAGGCTAATTGTACACGCATATGCTTAGTTGACTTGTAATTTAGTCTAGTTGCACACACACTGATGTTTAGTTGGCAGGACACTAGTTGCACACACATATACTCAGTTGGCGTGGCAATTTAGTCTAGTTGCACACACATTGATGTTTAGTTGACAGGACTTTTTTGGCACACACACATATGCTCAGTTGGCGCGGCAATCTAGTCTAGTTGCACACACATTGATGTTTAGTTGGCAGGACTTTTTTGGCACACACACATATGCTCAGTTGGCGCGGCAATCTAGTCTAGTTGCACACACATTGATGTTTAGTTGGCAGGACTTTTTTGGCACACACACATATGCTTAGTTGGCGCGGCAATCTAGTCTAGTTGCACACACATTGATGTTTAGTTGGCAGGAAGACTAGTTCGTCGAAACATCCCCATGCGGGATATAGTTTTGAAGAGCACGTCGCGAGGATTCCAGCGGTGAAAACGGATCTTAATTCCGACGCGCGGTTTGGAAGATATAGCTTTTTGAAAATTTGAAAACCGAAACAAATGCATATGTGATCTGTTTTTTTCCAACTGACTGTGACCGGTGTGAATGTATTAAATGCTAAAAGATACATGCGCTAGCGGACAAAAATTACACACATGCATGTCTATTTTAGGCCAGCCGCTCGCACATGTATGGCTGGCCGCTCCATCGCGCTAGTGGGCAGCCGGCCGCCCACTAGACGCTCCCAAAAAACAAATACAGCAGCGGCAATGCTGGCTCCTCCCGCCTCCACCCGTGCCCTCGCCTTCCACCGCCGTCTCCCGCTCCTCCGCCCCAACCATTCCACCCTCCTTCCCCACTCGCCAGGCCCGCCTCTGCCCCCGCGCCCCTGCCCCGCCCCCCCGCGCCCCTGCC